GGAGGGGGTGTGTGAAGCAAGTTGTCTCCGGGGCCTGGAGGAGGCGTGAGGACCAGGCACCAATCAGGTTCCTGCTCAGCGCCCGTCTTTGTTCTCACTGGGGAGCAGGTTTCGGGCTTTTTGCATCCGGAACCTACATTCAACCCGCACGCGTGTTGCTGGCCCCCTAGGAGACCTGCTCCACTCCCAACCTCAGCCCCTGCCAACCAGAGCTTTTCCTAATTACATCTGCCTTCTTTCCTGAGAATCGGGACGCTAAAATCCTGACTCACCATTCTGTCTTTGCATTCGAAGAGGCAGATCCAGCCTAATAGTTTTAAATGGAAATTTGTTCTCTGAACCTTCCTCAAGCCTCAGAAAGCACTTTTGGGAGAAAAGACAAACCTATCTTTTGGCCCTTTCGTACTGACAAATAAAGGAACTTTTGTCGTTGAGAGGACTGTGACAAGGGGCTTCAGAGGCATCTCCTAAATCAGAGTTTTGGATTTTTCCCCCTTAATCCGATTAACTGTATATAAATATACTTCTAACATCTATCCTCAGCCTCCCTCCCAAGCCTCAGGTAACTGGTCTTTTTGCAAAACAAGGCTCATAACAGACGATGCATAAAGTTCTCTGAGATCCTGGAATGCAAAGTGTTGCGTGAACGCAGTCTTATTTACATTTAAGGTTTGATTTTAGCTGCGAGCCAAACCACTGTCCTGGTGGTAAGAATGTTTCAGCCCCTCTGTTTCCAGAGATCAGGAAACATTTAGCTCAGTCTTATACCTTCTAGTGAGCTCTAGCTCCCAGCTATTTATCTCACTTTCCCCACCATTTCTGCAGGGACAGAGAGAAGGGGGTGTGGCTTGCCCTAGAGGAGGAGTTGTACTTCCCAGTTAATTGCCTACAAAACACCCTCTACCTCCTATTGGCCGAGCAGCATGCACTGTATTTCTTCCCACCCCGCTACTTTACTAACCCTCCATCTCCCTTCAGTTCAGAGCCTCAGAGACAAACTTAACTTGCCCGGAGATTCAAGGCGGCCTCTGCCTCTGCGATTGGCCGGCACGGCTCCCAGCCGGCTCCGGGAGCTCATTGGCTGAGGGTTAGGGCCCCGGGGGCGTGGCCGGAGCTATCGGATTGGCGGGAGGGGGCGGTCCCGTAGTGTGGAGGTGGTGAAGGTGGTGGGAAGGCGGGGGCGGGGCTGCACTGAGGCGCTGCGGCGGCGGCGACGGCGGCGGTAGCGGTGGCGGCTGCTCGTCCTAGCCTGGCGGGGGCGGGGGTCTGGAGGATGGGGGCGGGTGGAACACCCGGCCGGTGAGGAGCAGCCGCCGCCGTCTCCGCCGTCGCTTCGGCAGCCGCCGCGGTGGTCGCCTCGGGCCGCGCCGCTCGCTCTCTGGCCGTCACCTCCCCTCCCGACATCTCGTCCCAAGGAGGTTGAAGCTGAAGCGAGGCCGGCGGCAGGGGACAGCACGGCCCCGCAGTGCGGGCGGCGGCAGTGACAGCCCGGCCCGCCGCCCGCCCTAGCTCTCGGCGCCCGCAGCCACGATGAACCGGGGAGGCAGCAGCCCGTCGGCCGCTACCAACTACCTGCTCTGCACCAACTGCCGGAAAGTGCTGCGGAAGGTACGGGCACGGTCTGGGGTCTGGCCGACTGGGGGCGCCTTCTGCGGCGGGGACTCGGGCTGGTTGTCCACGGGAGCGTACTGGGGGCGAGCTGGGAAGGGATCACCGAGTACGGTCCTTAACCGGAGACCCAAGAAGGGGGCGTGGGTTGACGGTGGAAGGTTCATACATTGCTGCTTTTTATCTCCCGCGGGACAGACGCTAGTCCCGAGGGGCTGAGATTTTCTTCCTCTTGATGTCTGTGGTGTTTTTCGGCTCGCCTCCCTATTTGCCAGCCCGGGTCTGCTCCCGGGCGGAGGGAGGGAAGAAGGACCCGCTCCTCTGTGGGTCTTGGCGGCTCGATCCACCTCCGGGTGCTGTTTAGCTGTAGATGAGGTTGGTGTGAAATCTGAACAGTTTGGTCTAGAGGAACCTTCCTCCCTTTTTGCTGTTGCTAACTCTCGCGGGTGTTGTTTTTGTTTCTTAGGTAGCTTCTGCTTCGCGCGCCCTCCCCTAACGCTCTTTTTAAAAATTTTTTGGCTGTTCATCCTATGTCTTTAGTTTAGTCATCAAAGGAATTGGTAGAACAGCTTTGAACTTTATTACTATGAGAAATGCTAGTTCCTTAGTCTGGGGTTGAGGGTGGTGGTGACTGAGGTGGACGTGCGTTATCCCGCTTAACCACCCCTCCTCAATGTTGGTCCAGAAAAAATATCAGTCGCATAATCAATTTATTTCGTCCTAGAATGACTGATAGAAAGTTTACTCCAGTGTTGTTTAACTTACTTGGCTTAATCAGTTCGTTGGGGAGGGGCAAGGGGGCTTTTAATCAGACTTTTAATAGCCGTCACTAATATTCTAATCCTTTTATATTTCTCCACACTACAGTTTTACATTTGGTTAAATAGAAAACATTAGTTAAGATGCTACTGTTTGTCCATTACAAATGAATTAAAATTGCTGAGTGTGCAAATGCATCGAGATCGAAAGACTAAGATGAGTACGGTACCGTTTTTAGTCAATTTCTCGAACTACAGCCTACATTGGAATTGCTCTTTATATATATATATATATATTTTAATGCATGAAATAAGCAAGCTCAAATATTTGCGCTCTTTGTCCAAAAACTGTTTTTCTTCCTTTGTGGGTCAGGCCAAGTGCCAATCAAAGTTGTTTTTCAAGCCTCTTTTCCCTGCAGTAGGGCTGCTGCCTTTTTTTTTTTTTTTTTTCCTTAAGAGCAAGAAGAAAGCAAAGGGATTGCAGATTTGAAGTTAATCGAACATTTAAATATGCCTTATGTTGTGTTTACTGGATATGTTTCTCTCCAAGCAGATTTTTATTGAATGTGCATGTTGAGTATGTGCAGTTATTTTTTCCCATAAACTCTGGGATCAAATTACAGTTGATACTTGCACTGCTCATTGTAGCTCAGCTTGTGAGAAATGTAATGGATCAGAAGTGCAGATCTGTGCAGTTGAATGTTAACTCTTTCATTTGCAGGGCCAGATGTCATCTGATTTAGCTTATTATTATTTCCTTAAAAGTGATGTTGTTGTTGTTAAAAGTGATAGTATGTCTTTAACATGACAAGTGTTTTGTTTTTTTTTTTACATACATTTGATTAAACTTCAGCCTGGTTAAAATAACAGCTAGTGTTTGTTTTGCTTTCTTTTCTGCCCTTTAAAATTTTTTTAAATAAGGGGGAAAGTGATACTGACCTAGATGTGTGTGCATGTGTGGGTGTGAAATGGCTCTGGCAATTTGGTAGACTAATGAAATGTTTGAGGGTAAAAATAGACTTCAAAATCTATTTCATTTTTCTTCTGAGAAAACTCTGGCTATGGATAACTGACACTTTTCTAGCAAGTGAGGCGTTTTTGTTTCTTACTCTTAGATTTTATGAAGCCATTTCTGTTTACCTAGAAAGAACATCCTCATGCTAATCATTATTAAAAGAAAAAAGTATATGGAAAATGGATATTCATTGTTACCATATTCTATAATTGCTGTGCACATCTGTGCCAATATTCTAGTTTTTAGTAACTTCAAGTTATTATTTAATACTGATTCATGCAGTAGCTTGAAGTGTAACATTAGATGAAAATAGGATTGTTTGAGCCAGTTATGACATGACTTGGCAGCACTTACAGCTTTTTTAGAGTGCCATCCTTAAAACTATTCTGAAAAGAAATCAAGGGTCTAGTATTTTAAATTCACTGTTCTAAAAATAGCATATAAGACTCCATTTCTAATAGACACCTTTCTTCTTGCTAGAAAGAGTATATATAACTCAAGTAAAATTCAGCTGTGGTTTTCAAAAAGTGATTTTCTTTTTTTTTTATTTAATAAAATGTTCAGTAATAACCAAGTGAGTCTTAGCATTTTGAATTTAGTTCACAGAATGGTTAATAATGGAAGAATGACAGTCATGCAAACCCAGTGTGAATTGCTATGTGTTGTTAGAACCCTCACTAATGATGGGAGGGTGGTGGTAGTGATGTGCTGTGGACGCCTTCTAACTCATGTTGTTGTTAAGTGAGGTGGAGTTGGTTCCGACTCAGAGCAACTCTGTATAGGGTTTCCATGGAGCACCTGGTGGGTTTAAACTGCTGACCTTGTGGTTAGCAGTTCAATGCTTACCCTACAGCACCATACCACAACTTTTTCTGACTCATGTTGTTATTGTTAAGTGCCATCTAGTCGGTTCCAATTCACAGCAACCCCATATAGGGTTTCTGAGGAATGGCTGGTGAGCTTGAACCACTGACCTTGCAGTTCAAACTGACTTTGCAGTCCAGCTCATTAACCCGCAGTGCCACACCAGAACTCCTAGTGACCCTGTATAGGGTTTCCTAGACTGTAAAATCTTAAGGTATCAGAAAGCCTCATTTTCTCCCTTGGAGCATCTAGTAGAATTGAACTGCTGATCTTGTGGTTAAGAGCTCAACTCATAACCCCACTATGCTACCAGAATTCCTTAATGATGGGAGGAGGATCACCGGTATAAGCACTTTCCTCCCTATAAGTGGTTCCATTTGTTGAAATGTGTTGAACTTTGGGAGAACATCAAAAGAAACTGAATTGACCTTCAAATAAAAGAATTTACAATAATCTAATATCTGAACATTTTTATGTTTAATATTTATGTTTAGAATACCTTTACGATTTTGATTCAATATCTTAAAAAATAAAACTTTTAATTGCCTAATATAAGAACCTTGTTGTTGTTAAGTGCTATGGATTTGGTTCTGACTTATAGTGACCCTGTATAGGCTTTCCAGGCAGCAATTGGTGGATTTGAACCACTGACCTTGCAGTTAGCAGTCCAGTTTTTATCCTGCAGCACCATACCAAGGAATCTTAGCTCAGCAAAAAAAACCAAGATGTAAACCAGGTACCGAAATAAATAGCACAAATAAAAAGTATCCTCAAACTTGTAACTCCTACTCAGATGTGTTATTTCACTGAAGTAGTTCCAAAAAAGTTTTTAATAAAAAAAGTTCTTCTATTCACTTTATGTTTTTGAATACATTCTACCTAAAGAAATTCCAGTAACAACTAGATGTGCTTCCTCATTTTAATTTCAAAGTGAAGTGCATTAGGGGACCTAATAAGTAACTGTCAGTCCACTCATCTTCTGGAACATATAAGGTGGCATATTATACTATACTTTGACTATTGAGTAGTTAGTGCTACCAAAGTAAGTAAAGTCCTCCGCTATGAATCAATCAGATGAGCTAACATTTCACAATTCTTAATATATTTAGGTTGTTGTCCTGAAGTGCCGTCAAGTCATCCAATCTATTCAGACCCATAGGGACCCTGTATATGGTTTTTGAGGAGCGACTGGTGAGCTTGAACTGCCAACCTTGCAATTCAAACCGACCTTGAGGTCTAGTGCATGTTCCCGCAGCGCTACATCAGAACTCCAATATGTTTAGGTTATTGTTGTTGTTAAGTACCCTAGAGTCAGTTCCAACCCATAGTGACCCTGTATAGTTTTTCCGAGGAGCAGCTGGTGAGCTTGAACTGCCAGCTTTGCAGTTCAAACAGCTTTACAGTCTGGTGCATTAACTTACCGCACCACACCCGGACTCCAGTTCCAGGGGTAAATATTTCTGTGGTTTTTGCCCTTACGTACTTTTTGATGGTTTTACAAATGAAGATATTGCCAAATTGAAATGGGAAACATAGATTGAGTTCCACGAACCTCATTTTTATAGGTCGAAGTTGTCCAATATTAGCTTATTTATGTGGTGCAACCATTAGAATGGAATTGCTTTGAATATGGATTAGCAACTATATTTTGCCTTGGTTAATCAAGTTTCTTATATCTTTTTTTATTGTTAAAGGTAGTCTTTTACCTGATCATTATCTTAAATGAAGTAAATAGAAATCAAGCAGTGAATTTAACACGTAAACCATAGTGTAGTGGTTTCAGACTGCTTTCTATGAATCCTTAAGATGTTTCTGAGTTCAAAGGTGCTTAAGTTAGATTAAATTTCTAAATATAATTTAAATTATAATTTAGAAATACAACTACCCAAAAATGTTTTATGCCACATTTTCGCTTATTTGGAGCCTACCACAGTTATATTTGGTTAAAAGATAATTTATTCTTTGTGAAAACTTTAAATCAGAATTTATTTTGCTATTTTATACATGTTTGAATGTTTTCTTAATATATCATTGATGAGAAAGATTATTATATATTCTCAAGGCACTGGCATTTTAAAAGTTCCTAAACAGTTTGTTGTTATTAAGTACTATCAAGTTGATTCTGACTCATAGCTACCTTGTATAGAGTTTCTGAGGAACAACTAGTGGGTTTAAATTAACAACCTTGTAGTTAGCAGTCCAGTGCTTATCCAAATCACCACACTAGTACCCCTAAACAAATCTGGTGGGTGGTGTTCCATGGACTCAATTCTGACTCATAGGAACTCTGTGTAAGGTTTCCAAGGCTGTAAATCTTTGGTTGTGGTTATGTGCTGTGGTGTCTGTTCCGACTCACAGTAACT